GGTGGGGGTAGGCCCACCACTGATGATCTTCAAAGTACAAATTGTTATCCATTTAAAAAATTTGTATTTCATCTTTCCTCGAATTTTATTCGGTACTTTGATGAGCTGTCGCGAATGATAGGAAGCGTTGTCAAGAACCATTCGCATCCAAATTGGGGTCATGTGTTTTCATACCATTCCTCAAAAATATTAGCTTCCATGTTCTCTTGATAGTCAACTTTGCAGTCCTCAAGATTTTTTTCAAAGAAATCGGAGTCCCTCCTTTACTTCCTCCACAATGTACAATGATTAGTCGCGATCCTTTGTTTGGAGGCATGATAGGCGTACACTTTCTCAAACCATCAGTCCACCCTTTCATAACTGTGTCGAGAATGTCATACCAAGTTTCGTCCAAATGGAAAATTTACCGTCGTTCCTGTCTATATGTAATTATTTTTCCTAATTATTTGTTACGAAATTCCACTATTCTTCTGCTTTCCATAACTGGTTGACGTTTGTTCATTATTTTGAATCTAAATCCAAGTTTTTTTATCCAATTCTGAAAAATTTTGTCATAGCAGCTCACGTTATGGCCGGAAGTATTCAATTCCTTCCTTATGATTTCAGTCGTAGGTATCTCATTGTTTTTATAACAGTCGTATATTGTTTTTTTTTTCAGTGATTTTATTACATGAACATCTAAAGGTTTTGGTAATACTGTATCACATCGCTTCTTCCGTTTATTAGGTTTGCTTTTGACTATTTTACGTACACTTGAGAAAAGAATTTCGGTCAAATCTGATGTTGCTTGCGATAGTTTGTTTTACCTCGAAAACCAAACTTGAGATGTAGATTCTTATTTCATTAAAACATAGTCTCTATGTTTCAATATTCAAATGAATCCGAATCTTATTCACTGGTATCTCTTTTGGGAAAATTATACTTTATGGGATACTCACGGATTTTCGCAATTTTTTCTGAGCTGATACTACGTGATGGTAGGAATTCATAACACTTTCAATTTTTTGTTGGACTCTATTAGTTTTCGAAATGTGGCCTGTCAAAGTTTGTATGCTGTCATATTTTACCTTTTTTTTAGCAATAAATGATTTAATTCACATATTTTTTATTCAACAGATCTTTTTTCATATCACCGCACTTTTTTCTATCCCTTTTCATTCACTCATTGCCAAGTTGCTTGAAATTAAATTGAAATTCCATAATTTGTCACGTGCTAACTCAACCTAACCTAACCCTACCTAACATAACTCAGTCTAACTTTACTTTAGAAGTAATATATGTATCCTCAACATCTTACCTGACCTCCAAATTCTAAAAGGAACGTTTTTTCGAATATTTACTTTTATAAAAACAATCTTTTCTCACCATCTAACCTGACCTCCGAATTCTAAAAGGAACGTATTTTCGAATAGTGAAACTTAATGCAATTTACAAAAAGTGATTTTTGTGCACCTGACAAATTATGGAATTTCATTCTAACTTCAGGAAACTCGGCAATAAGTGATTGAAAAGGTTTAGAACAAGGTGCGATGATATGGAAAAAGTTGTATTAAATAAAAAAATATGTGAATTGCAATGGTTTATTGCTTAAAAAAACGTAAAATATGACGCCATACAAACTTTGACAGGCTATATCTCGAAAACTAATTGAGTCCAACAAAAAATAAAAAGTATTCTGAATTCCTACCATAACGTAGTATCAGAAAAAATCGCGAAAATCCGTAAGTATCCCATGAAGAACAATTTACTCTCTCTTTTTCACATTGTTCACCATCGTTATTGGAATTACTATACTGGAAAAAGGCTGCGTTATTATCACACTCGTTATTACTATTAGTACTTGTCCAAGGACGCCATTTTTTATACAGATAACAAAAATTTTAAGTAATAATTACTGCACCAATATCGAATTTCAACACTCAACGATCAGTTCCTGAACTGAACACGACGGCGATAAGCTTCCCCGCATTCCCTGATTTCTATTCTATAACCTTTCCCTATTTCTATTCGTCAACATGAATTTAATTTTATGACTCTTCAGCCAATCATTAAACTCGAGTAGTAAATATTATCTAATACGAATTTTCCAGTCTACAGTCCATCTGGACTAGTTTGCTACCGGTTCATTCCTATGTATTGATTTTTTTGGCGTTTGAGAGTGCCGAGAACTTCAAGAGTACACAATATCGTGTATTTCGACTATACCTGTATCGTATGAAAAGATTCCCATGAAAATTGATGAACTAACTGCTTTCAGGAATTGATAAAACTATAGTTGTGGATACAAAATTCATTTGCATGAGAAAATCTTGTCAGTCTCTTATTAAAATGTTCAGGTTATTTCATTTTATTTGCCAATATATCTGCGTATAGTGGGAATAAGCAAAAAAGTCAAAATATTGCATTTTTGTATTAAGTCATATTCGTCAAGGATAACTGCAGATGCATGACTGTGTGAAATCACATAATTCAAAAACGAAACATAAATAGGTTAAAAATGATTAGTCGAAATGCTATGATTACGGTGGGTATAATAATATAAGTCAGACTTATGTAGTTTCATACTACCTTTTCATCAGAGAAAAATCACATAAGTCAGACTCAAGTGATTTTACGCTTAACGTGTGTTGCGTGTGTAAAACTATTCATTTATTTTTTTATTTAAGCAAGAACCGTATCAACCACAGATATATAGATATATACATATTTGATTGTATACATTAATTTTCTTTATAAATTGTATAGTTTTCTCCAAATTGTTATTCAAAGTAAGTTTTAAGTTCTCACTGATGTTCATTAGTTTTCGTTCTTCATTGTAGTAGGGGCAGAGACATATGATGTGTTCCACTATTAACGGTGTATTGCAAAATTCACATCATTTGGGATTTTATTTCTTGAATATAATTCTTGAAGATCAATTGAAGGAGAAGCGGATGCTTTGGGTAAAGTTGGCGTATCCCCTTGCATACCAGATAAACAAGTAGCGAATAAAAATGAAAATGTCCAATGTTTTACGTTGGATTTACAGCAGTGCTTGGCTACTCCATTCCTGTCGAATGCAATTGCGTTTTACAAACGCCAGCTTTGGACCTACAATTCACGACAACAAAACTAACCAAGCATTTTGCTAGATGTAGCAAGAGGCTACTGCAGCTCGTGGGGCCAACGAAATAGCTTCATGTATTTTCAAACATATCCAAAATCTACCGGATGGAATTACAAAAGTATAACTATATTCAGATACGTGCGGAGGATAGAACGTATGTAGCGGCAATGCTAACGTTAGCTTTGCAAAAGTATCCAAGAATTTGCACATTTGAACATAAATTTATGTTGCCTGGACACACACACATGGAAGTCGATGGTGATCATGTTGTAATTGAAAGAAAAAACATCCTCATGATTGGTATCACCTGGTCCGATCGTGCGGTCCTAGATTTTCGGTTATTGAGATGACCCAAGATGACTTTTTAGAATTCTCAACTATGCCGAAAGGTCCGTTAGTGAAAAGAAAGAAAGACATTGCACACAACGATTTTAAGTGGCAACCTGTGCATATCTTAAAGTACAGCAAACGGTTTAGTATCATCCAATTTAAAACCAGCTTAGACGATTATGAACCATACCAGAAAATATCCGTTAAATGGTTAGCTGGTCCCGAAAATTAGAAGTACGTTATTACCAATATCTAAAGAAAAGAAGGCTGATCTGTTGTCCTTACTAGAGTTTATTCCGCCTGTGTTTCATCCCAAAAAGCATACCAAAGCAGAAAATAGAATTGTCTGACCTGACATTATTATATCCAATTCGGAGAAATCCATATTTTTGGAGAAAACCGATGCCTGGCTTTTCGTGGAATTGAATTGAACCTGGTTACTTTCACTCCAATTCGAAATTACTTCCAGATCTTCATTAAGAAATGCAACCTCCTGCTGGCCGTGAAGATGTGCATCCACCGTCGATGTCCTGAAGTCTAAATGGAATGACGAAACAAGTGTGCAGTCACCAGCAAAGCAATATATTGGATTGGAAAGAGGGTTGGATATAATATAGATCCCTGGAAAACACCAGCGTTGATGGTGAAAGTATTCGATGGCTGTTGTTGCAATCGAACCATTCGCTTTTGTTAGTGGTGGAATTGTGGATTTTGTAAATTTTCGATCAACAGTTTTAGCTACCGACCAGAAGGATCTAAACCCGTTGGAAATGGCAAGCCGTTTATCCCTAATCCTTTGACTGTGAAGTTCAATGCTTTCATTTGCAGCTGTTGCGAACATTAACAAACCCAGTTCGGTTTTCGGCACTGGGATTTTTGCCCCACTGCCGGTAGGCGCGATTTTCAAAGGCAACACAATTTTTGTTGAACCAAGGTTTGCCGATAGCATTTCGTGTCACTGAAAAGGAAATATATGCAATACTAGATGATAGAATAACTTTCGTGACTTTAAAGCTGAAACTAACATCCAGCCAGGTGAAATTGCTGAAATGGTCTTGAAGATCCTCCCACTCAGCAGATCTGTAATTCCAAGCTTTGGGCGGCTTTGATTGTTCCCCAACATTTATCGGTGATTCACTCAACGCTGAAATGAGTTTGTGTTCAGAAGATCCCAATGGAGATCTTACGGTGATTGTGTAAATTTCTGGATTGGTAGTTAGATATAGATCCAGAAAACTAGCATATTCTCCATCCCGGTCAGATATCCTGACCGGGATATGTGAGGGATAGGTATCTGAGTAAGTCCGCTGCCTATTGCAAAAGCCTCAGCTTCGCGACCTTGTGCATCGGTGATATTCGAAAATTTCAGCCATATGTCATATCTACTATAAACCTGAATTATTTGGTACCCCACCTAGTGGAACAGTCAAGAGAATAAAATAAACAGATAGTATAGACGGAAATATAACAACATAGTATACACAGTTGATGCAATGAATGAAATAATTCCTGCATATATTGTCTGAACTAAGGATTATAGAGTTCGTAATTATAAACTGCAAGCAACTGATTAAAAATATGTATTACAACTACAACCATCACTTTGACAAGAGTACCTGGCAGAAATTATTATACCAGAAGTAGATTTAAAAAATTATAATTATAAATATTTGGCAGTTGCGGGACTGAGCTGGTAGATATCTTTCCACAAGTTCATTCTTTCCATCTCTGGATTGGTCTGCATTGTGAGCACTTGCCCGATGTCCAAGATATTTACTTGCTCCTCTTCTACAGATTTCCATTCAACATTCAAGTTAGTTCCGCCAGGAGTGGGATTGCCATGTGCAGCAAAATTTGTCCATAATTCCAAAAATCGCCGTATACCCTGAATTTCAGGTTCTCCAAGTTCAATTTCTGATCCAACGGAAACTTTGAAGAGATAACCCAGTTCGTCACCATGAGAAACCCCTTAAAAAACATATTCATTATGCATAAATGCTATTTGATCTATAACACATGAATCATATCTTCAATTAGTGTGTAACCTACAGTTATTGATTTTGTGACTCTCATTTGATGAAACGTTGTGTATTTTTCATTGTTACTCTATGTTCATGCTTATTCTGAACATAAATAGCACCACTCAATTGAGGGTCACAAACTATAATATATACTTTGAAGTTACAAACTGAGGTTAAATTACCTAGGCCAAGAGGTTGCAGGTGCTTGTAAACATACAGGCAAGAGGATTTCACCTGATAAATAACAGGCGGATTACCCGTAAGATGCAGATTATCTGTGAGATGCAGATTCTCTTGACTCTTGAGCTAGTCAAGACTCATGAATGTTTTTTTGGTAACCACTAGCATTCGTTTTCTGTCGAAACTATGCTGCTCAGTGGTTACCAAAACCTTTGAAATGAAGTTCGATGGATATATCTCAGGAAGCCATATATTGCGCTTTGCGCATTAAAGGTTTATGTCCGATCTGTAGTCCATCAGCGAGAGGATTAGACTCTAGCTTCCATGTGTACATGTCGTTTGAATTTACAAATCGAAGAAGAATAATTTCAACTTTTTGGTAAGAAAATTATCTGCACGGTTTTATAAATGACAGATGCATCTTTTCGCGTCAGTTGTGATTTCTGGGTACTAATATTGTAGTTTTCAGCTCATTCGCATCCAAATTAGCAGGTAGAGTGGGATTTTTATAACCGCTTAGACATCAGAATAACATGTAGGCCACAATTACGAAAGATTTTATGTAATTTTGGTCATGATATAACGATAAGTATCAAGTGAGTCGGAAAAATTCTCGCTCCCTGAGAGCTATTTTTGCGAGCGCTGCCCATACCGTTGGAGTTACATGAGGATAATGTACCGTGAAATTATTTATCTTAAATAGTTTTAAATAAAAGTCTGCAATAACATATTTCAACCTTTTATGTGGTAGCCACTGTATGCAAAATACTGAGCCATAAATACAATTAAACTGGATACTTTTTCAGAATGCACGTTTTAGAATATCCGTCAAATTCTTATAAAGATTAATACAATTGTCGTTTTGAGTATTCAATATAAATAAACTTTGTCTTTCACACAAAATAAATTTGAACGAATCGTTCTGAAGTTTTCACGATAAGATTAACTTGACGCAACGCAGTACGCCATTACAAGTCGCGTCTACTGTAAAACGACGGGGGATGATGCGCGAGATTGAGGGGCGGTCTAAGCAATGAAGCGCCATCGCCGTGAACACGACCCGAACGCGGGAAGACGCGTGAGGGCAGACGTCGTTGACGGTTGTGTTAGTTTTGCGAAATTTATTCATAGATAACATAATTCGATTCTCAAAGCTATTCATTACTTAGTGCAGTTGAAATATTTTTTCAGTTACCGTATTTTTTAAGTAAAAATATAAATCACTAGCTGTTGCCCGCGTAGGATTCGGTTTGTCACATCAAGTTTCGTGACAGACCATTTCGAATAAATTGTTACAATATTTTTTTATCGACACGAGACTTCAGGTTTCCAACTTCAAAACTGACGAAATTCAAAACAATCTTTGAACACCTATTTTTCCCACTTGGGAGGTTGAAAATCCTGATTTCCATTCTCGATGTTTATTTACGCCATACAAAGAACCTACCTGCATATTTCAAGATTCTAGGTTTTGCAGTAGCTTCGGCTTTAGGTTAATATAAGAGTGTCAGTCAATCGATAGGTACCCACCTATACAATACTAGCTGTTTCCCGCTGTTTTACCCGCGTTAACGTGGGAACCTACCCAATGTGTCATTCGAATCGAATGATGTATTCACATACTGGATGTTCTATTTGAAAAAATATAAGTTTGGTTGGCCACGCTTGGCTGAAACACCCAGTATGCGAGAATATGATTTATGCCAAAAAAAAATGAGCAATTCGAAAAATTGTTTCCGCTGGACCAAGGGAATCTTGTTGACTCACCCTGTATGTATTTTGTGAAATATCAGGTCGAAATGGTAATTGTAAATAATGCTACAATGGTCTCACAAATTATTTTTGGATTCCCTGTAAATATACAGAAGAAAAGAAAAGTTTTGGTGATGGAGGTGAATTCTATTTCGGTATTACCTTCCTATGATGAATATTGTTTTCCGAACACAATACAGTGTGCAATACAGGGGTTTCGAATGAGTACCTGATACACTCTGATATGAAAGTTCATGAGTATTGTTTCAGAACATCACTTCATAAATTCATTGGGTGTTTATTACTGTTTTTTCCAATGAGATAATACGGTTTTGTCCATTTGATACATTATTTTTACCAAAATCCTCACCTGGTAAATTTTCAACTTTGAATAGCCTTTTCATAACATTCAATCCAGTTTCCAGGGTCACTCTATACAGATAAACTAGATGATTTGAAGTTCTTGCGTGAAGTTTGGCCGAACCTATTATTCCTGCTACGAAATAATAATCTGAGTGCAGCTGTAAAAAAATGTCAAAATTTTCATGAAACTACTCAAACTTTTGTGAAAAATACTTTTCAAATCAAAACTGATAGCCTTTTCCTCTTGACAAATTTATTTTTCAACAATTCTTTCATTCACATAACATTCTTGTCTGTGATACAGGATATTAACGACTATTGAAACAAATAAATGAAACTTATGAGAGAAATATCTTCTATATTCTAAAAAAAAATCAAAAAATGTTTCACTGAATTTTTAGTAAAAATAATTGACAGAGAAAATGTGGAGTTGACAATAATACTAGCCATGTATTTAATCAGTTATTTTTGGGAAGAAAAATATAATTTATTAATGTTAAATTTTCAATCAACTATCATAAGAGCTTAGTTGGTAATTGAATAACCTTATTTCCGAAACTTCTTCACGATTTTTTTCTGAAGTTTTATAATAATACAGTATATTTTCTAAATATATTTTTGAAATGTAAATATCGTGAAAACAGGAACGTTAAAAAAATCAAGGATATAAATTGTTCATAAATAAATACATTTTTAAAAACACCATATTCAATATAAAAGAAATTATATCAACTTATATGTGAAACCCCAGTTTTTTTCATTGTCAATCTTAAACAGTGCATTTCTTTAATGTCCCCCACACGGGTCAAGTCAAAAAATTTAAATTTGGAATACTGAAATTAACGCATGAATACTTTATTTTGAATTGAAATTGAAAGATGAAACATTCAAGATGGCGATAGAGCACCATCTGGGAAAAAAATTATATGGAAAGGGGGGTCTTGTAACAGATCATTTTGGAGCTCCTGACGAATACTTCATAACACTAGGATATGAAGTCTTCACCTACTACAAAAAGGCGCAACATTTGATAATTTCCAGAAGATAATCACATTAATATTGATATTTCTAGAAATATTCCTTTTTATCTGCCATATGGCAATTCTAACAACCAGATAAGATTTATTAATCTAGTTTTTGTTTATAAAAACGACAAAAAATATCAGTACGACAATGAACATCATTGTTCGGTTAGAATATTCACATTTAGTTTTCGTTTTTATCAGTTGAAAGGTACCACGTCAACAATCTCTAAAATGTTGTGAGGTTTGTAAGGTGTCTCCTTCTACTGTGTGGAGACTTTTGAAGAGGAATAGGTATCATCCATAAAAAATTAAAATGGTACACCAATTAACTGAAGATGACCTTGATCGAAGAACAGAATTCTGCGAAATCATAACGGAAACCATTGCAAGGCATCCTACCTATCTCCACAATATTTGTTTTAATGGCGAATGTACATTTTTTTTAAACGGCAGTGTTCAAAGACAAAATTGCCGTTATTGGAGTGACACCAACCCTCACGTTTTCCGGGAAACACATACCCAATATCCAGAAAAAATTAACGTTTGGAAAAACATATTGTAGGACATCTATTTATTGATCAATATTGAGCATATTTGAATATGTTGGAAACTACTGTTGACACTCTCATCACTGAAATCGTCGAACGAATTCTAATGAATTCGATATGGATATTGTATTCCAACAAGATGGAGCACCACCACATTACTCCAGACAAGTAAGAAACTATTTGGATACTACTTTTTCCGGTCTTAGGATTGGCCGTCGAGTCCTACAGAATGGCCAGCCCGCTCGCCAGACTTGACACCTTTGGACTTTTTTATGGGGCTATTTGAAGCAAAAGGTGTACTAAACTGAACCTGCTTCAATATTGGATATGAGACAAAGAATAATAAATATTTGTAGAGATATTGACGTTACTGTTTTCAAAAATGTTCGGCGTGAATTAATGGATAGGCTGTTCATATGTCAAGGACTTCAAGGCAACAATTTCAATCATTTTCTGAACTGATCTCGAAATTATTATTTCATATTACGAGTATGTAGACAAATATCAATGTATTCAGGCAATTATAAAAAGTTTCGCCATTTTGTAGTAGTTGAAGATATTGACATCATATCCTGGGGTTTTGAAACATTTGTCGGGAGCTTCAAAAAGATGTGTAACAAGATCCTCCTTTTCATTTAATTTTTCCCCAGATGGCGCCCAGTCGCCATCGTGGAAGTTTCATATGTCAATTTCACTTCAAAATAAAGTATTCATGCGTCAATTTCATTATCCCTGATTTCAATTTTTCCAGTTGACTCGTTAAAAAAATAAAATGGAGGGACATTAAAGAGATGCACTGTTTATTGAAAAACTGAAATATAGTGATAGGGACAATATATTTACAACTTTGACGATGTAAATACTGCTGTTCCATCTCTCATCTAGATCACACGAATCATTTTTTCCATTGCTAAACAGTTTGTAATTTGAATATCCATTTCACTAAAACAATACAAAGTAGAACTCACCATATAAGGATTATAGGCATTCTTTTCTTGTGAGTAATAGTCTTTTATTTTTTTACATATCAATTTGCTGGTCGAACATCCTTTTTCCAATTTCATGTCTGGATGGATATAATGTTCGGATTCAATCTGTGGGTCTTTGAACCAGTCATTGCCGAATGCGAACAACAAACCTTCGTTCGAAGTGTACCCCATCATCATTGGTACTTTGTTCCATTCTCCAGAGGTTATTATTTCGATGGGACTCTTTGTTAGAAATGCCGTGGGATTTGGTTTCTCCACCGTTGGACCCACAACTTCGAATGGAAGCTTCGTCTGGGAAAAAAGTTCATAAAAGGTAAGATTGTAGAGTATTACAAAAATTCATCTATTCAGGACGCTTTTCATATTTATATTCTGAAAGTTATCAAGTTTTCAAAGAGACGTTCATCAAAAAACACGAAAAATAACGTCATATATTCACAAGTCATTCACAACAATAATAGTGGCAAAAAACACAAATTCCATGAAGCTCTGATATTTTCCACAGGCTTGGAAGAAATGGCTGCTACCGGGCAACATTAAGAAAAAGAGAGAGACGCAAGTCGAGCAAGTAATGACCAATTTTTGCGAGTTGAATACTATAATTTTTGTCTGAGATTTATTCGTGGAGTATGTTCCGAATGAGACAAATACCACTACATCTCATAATAAAAAAGCAAGCATTCGATTTCAAATAATCGAAAAATTGGGTGAAAAAAATATTGATCTGAGCTCTAGACTGAACCCTGAACCATTAACATCCAATTCCAGTTTTTAAACAACTACTCCAAGAAAAAGCTCACAAATTGGTGAGACCAGGCTATTTAAGTTTCTAGATACACACTTTTCATCATAAGTGAGGCAGTTTTAAAAAAGATCAAATTTTCGCCACATTACAATCTCCTAGACAAAAGTTTTCACATCCCGAACCTATATTTTATTCCAGTTCTCCGTTAGAAACTATACAGAGTGTCAATTTGAAAATTTTCCTCTCTTAATATCTACCTTCCAGTATATAATATGAGAAATCAAAATGACAGGTCAAGGGGGACACTTTCAAGGAATATTTGTAGCCTTCGTGGATCAACCCCCAAGGAGGGGTAGATGTTAACCTTAGAATCTCAAATATAAAGGGGTGTCAAGTGACACATCATTCTAATTGGCTTTCAATTCTGCTTCCAATGATACCCTGACGTTTCAATTTTTGATGAGCAGTTTCTGAAAAATAGCATTCTAAACTTACACATGTAATTAGAATTAGCCTGTTCTGAGATGCATTATTGTATTGACTCTTTTCAATTGAAATGTTTAGAAGAGTAGCTGGCACCGTTCCAACCCATGAATGACAGGAATAAATGTATTATGCGAGGGATTTTTCATTTGTTGTTAATTGTCCTTTTACAAAAGACATTTTAAACAAAGAATCTACTGCTATCAATAGTAATAAATTCTGGAAACTTCATTAGGAATTGACTGGCGTGCTGCTGTAATTCGTCTTTTGAGATCATCAATGGCAGAAGTTTGTGTTTAATAAACAACGGATTTGAAATGCCCTCAAAGAAAGAAATCTGAGGGTGATAAATCCGGTGATCTCGGAAGACGGAAAGAAAATAATGAGGTGGAGCACCATCTTGCTGGAAATGTAACAGATCCTCCTGCAAAATTTCAATATCTTCTGTATCATTTTCGTCAATCCAATAGCGACAATTTTGTTTATTAACATTGCCATTCAGTAAAAGTGAACACTCATCGCTAAAACAGATGTTTAACAGAAGACTAGGGATGGTATTGGCTCGATGAGACATGATTTCACAAAACTCCAGTTTTCTATAATAATCATCCTCGTGGAGCTCTTGAAGAATCTGTATTTTATAAGGATGAAATTTATGTATTTTCAATGCTTTTCTTACAGTGTCGGGTGACATTCCCGACTGTTCTAATACTGATCGTAAGGAGTTCATGAGCACTGCAGCAAATGTTCCCAAAACTTCAACTTGAGCTGTTTCATTTAGTACTCTGGTGTTATTTATTTTTTATTCATCACTGAACCAGTCTCGTAAAACTTATTCACCAAATCAAGCACATACCGGTAATTTACATTACAGTTTGGACGTCTTTCGTTAAAAAGAAATGCCGCCCTTCATGCGCATTTTCCAACTTTTCCATAAACTACAATCATTCCAATTCGGTTTCGAAGAATGTAAACCTTTTTTTCACTTTTATACACTTATTAAAATACTCACTCAACAGCCCAACAGGTATAACTGTATGCACAATAATACGTCATCGTTCAAATTGGCGAACCATTTTTTTGCCTAAAAATAGAAACAACTTACTACCATCTACGTTTCACTATTAGACTACTTTTTGATGTAAATTAACTGGAGCTAATAGCTAATGTTACCCCTGATAAAGGGTTGAAACGGAACCACCTAATATTCTTATCAGTTCTGGTCCAGCCATGCATCTCAGTATAGGCGTACTAATAAATACTTTTGTCAGTTCAGAATACTATTTGTCTGAAAATACTCATCAAAAATAATTAGTCAGGGTACCATTGGAAGGAGAATTGAACTCCCCCTAGGGGGTTGAAACACGAAGGCTACAAATAGTCCATCTAAGTGTCCCCTTTGTCAATAAAAACTGACCTGTTTCCGATTCCTCATATTGTTTACTAAAAGGAAGATATTAAGGATGGAAAGTTTTCAAATTGACACCCTGTATATTTCGGAATGTCAGTTCAACGATTGAGTTTGTCGTTTGAGAACATATTTTGAAATAGGAAATTCAAGGGGATGATTAAATGACATATTTTCCAAATTTTATTGTGATGGATTTGTGATGGATTTGGAATGTGATAAAAATCCATAACGTATTACAGTCACACTTTATTGTGATCAGTTTCCAGAACCGCCACATGTGTTTCAATATAGAATTACTTCCTCAGTCGTGTTCATACTCTGAACACGCATGGGTTCAATGAAAAACTCAATGAAATTTTACTTGAATAAATGCAATTCTCTTATAATTTTTTCAGAAACGAACGCATTTCTACGTAATTTCAACATGAACAATTTCAAAACCACCTGAAGCCAGTGATGTAGTGAAGTGTAGTCAAAATGAAAAAAGTTGTCCCTGAAAACGAAAACTCGTTCTAATAAACTAGTATTCTAGTAGACTTCCTGAATGATTCCAATCGGTTGAAAATATGTTTTCTAAAATGGGTTACACTGTGGATAAATCTGTCACATACATTTCGTTTTACTTGATGCGGGTTTGTAAATTAATAAGTTGTCATAACTTTGATTCGAGTTCACCTTTCTGTACTTTTGAGTATTTTATGAAACTTTTAACTGACCTTCAAATATTCATCTTGTAACTCCACTAACTCATCAACACGCAAATCTTTCAAAATGTGTAATCCTTCTTCCTCATTCTTCACTTCTCGCCCTATGAAATTCATAAAATCGTAAATATTGAAGTTTGATGCTACCCAAGGGTTTAAAGCTACCCCACTTTGCAGGATGGCTTTGTGGAAAAGGCCTTTAGCAGATGGAGACAAGATGAGATAATGGACCGAAGCTCCTCCAGCACTCTCACCTGAAATTCAAGAATAATAATAGTGATAAAGTTGTAAATAAAAAGTCACATTTTGGTGTGCCCTCCACCACGTTCAATGCAATCAATTGTCCTTTTAAAAACATCTTTAACTGCATTCTTTATACTGAGGAGTTTCGTGCTTACAACACATTCTCGAATAACTGCCTCTAAATGGTTTATATCTCGAAAAGGTCTTTGCTTATACACCTTTTGTTTCAAGTAACCCCACAAGAAGAAATCTAGTGGGGTTATATCAGGAGATCTAGGCGGCCAAAAGTGTTCCATATTGCGACTGATTACTTTGCCCCTGAATATTTCCAAAAGACGCTCTTCAACCACCCTTGTAGTATGAATAGGTGCACCATCACACTGATACCACACAACAGTTCTTATTTGAAGGGGCATACTATCCAAAACTTCAGATAGTTCGGTATTCACAAAGTATAGGTAGTCCGCAGAATTTAAATTATGTCTAAAAAAGTATGGTCCTATAATTTGATCGTTTAATATGCCACACCATACATTCGTCTTAAACGAATATTGATCTCGACATTCGCTTACGAAATGTGGGTTTTCTTTTGCCCACCACCTGCAGTTTTGCGAGCTCACAACGCCATTTGAAGAGAAGGTCGCTTCATCTGTCTATAAAATTTGATAAGGAAAATGATAATTTTTTTCTTTTTCCCCTTGAAACCAAAAAGAAAAATACAAGCGCATATCGATGTCCCTTTCTTTTAATGTATTGATAAATTTTGGGTTATGACATTGAAAATATCAGCTACTTGTCGGTGACGGTATTCTCGCCGCATATTGAAACGATTTCAATTTTCTCTTGAAAATTCAGCATTTTTAACAACACACTAGACAACGAATAAACTATTTTAAATCTAAAACTGATAAACACTATTTTGAGTTATTCAACAAATGTCATATGACAATAAAATATTTCGCTTATTCAGTTCAGTTCAATTATTTCCACAGTACCCTTAGTTTAATTTCGTTGTAATTTTTCGTAATTAGACAATCAAAGTTCAACTGTTTGAAAAGTGCAGTAAAGAATAAATTATTGACTTTTCATTGATATTGTTTTTTAATTATGCTTATGTATCAAGCTATTTCGCAAAAAATAGAAATAAAGTGGAATCTTTATCTGTTTGTAAATACTGTATCAACTTTGCATCATTTTTGGCATAATTTTTTCTGGTGTTTTAAATTTTTGCGAAATAAGTTGTATTCAGAATTGCAATTGGTAATAAAAATGCGTTGGAAAGATAAGTTAGGCATAAAGCACTAACTTTGTTGAGATTTGGCTAAATTTGACCAATCACCAAATGTCAAATTTTCGAAAAACTGTAAAAAAACTAAATTTGTACTAGAGAGCTAAAAATTGGTATATGGGTAGAAAATAAAAAAACAATCATCTCTTCTCCCTACCGATTTTCGAAATTTCGAGCAATAAGTGTTTTTCTGAACATTTTTTGGAAAAAATGTCAAATTTGACAGGGATATGCATGTCATATGCAGTCATATGCATGTCATTTGGCATCATTTTTAAAGCACAACCTGATGGAGATATCAAAAGTTTGAACTTTGAATATGCTCTAAATACCTGGTTTCTCTCCTTTAACATTAAGCCAATGGAATGGCTTTTGCAAGTAGGTAGTGTTAGATTTCATTCAATTATAATTTATTATTAGTAGAATACTTGGATTTTAATTATTTTTGACCTAATTTTCGAATATTTGTGGAGTATGAAATTAGCGTGGCTTCTCTCTTTTGGCTTGGGAAGGAATCCTCTCGTTGACAAAGAAATTGAATAACCTCTTTTGCTTGGATATGAAACACAAATTGTCACCAGTTCAAATTTCGAAGTTATATATTTCTAAAACTAGTTAACCTACAATTTTGAAACATACTTCCAAAATTAGCTAAATTTCTCTTTTATTTGAAAACCCAGAATTACCAGGCTTTTGACCGAAACCATAAATGTGAAGTTGACTCCTGTATGTAGCCTGGGAATTCTGGGTCTTCTGACTGGAACCACAAATGTGCGGTTGGATCCTGTTGTTGGCTACGTGCGTACGTGTCGCTTCCTATTTTCGTCAAAAAATTGTTGCCCATATTTGCACTTGGCTGCACCGCGCTGATGAGGCCAATTGCCAGAAACAGGTGTCCAAAGTTTGCCCCCTCTTTGGAGTGTTGTGTCCACGAATTGTTTCATTTTTGATATACCGGGTGATTCTCTAAGGTAGCTCACCCCTACAACTTTTTTATTATTGATGATATCAAAACAAAATTTGGGGGTAGTGTATTATAGTTCAATTTATATTTTTTGACATATTTACTTGCTTTGCCGTACTTTCGGTTTGACGGGTGTATTTGCTGGGAAAATTCAGTGTTGAAAATATATATTTTCAAAATATATTTACCTATACATCATGAGTAAAATTTGGAACCTCATTTAATGAAATCACTTCTCCCCCACCAGAATTTGAAACTTGAAAGCGATAACATTTTTGAATAGAAAATGAAGAGACCTTTCAAAATATCACAAACCTATACTTCGCATTTAATAAATTGGGGTTGTACCTGTCATTCGAAGAGGATTGAAGGTAGGTTGAAAAATGTCAAATTATTATTTACATTTGACGTGTTTCGGGATTCTTTTTATATATGTAAAGTATCCGAAAAAATTAATTTAGTTCATTTGGCTTTCACAGACAGTATATTATTTATATTGCAATAACAGGTATTTCATTCAGACGATCTAACACATGGGTGGAAAAGTCCCGGGCCTAAGAAAGAAAACGCTATTTTTGTTCAAAATTGACATTACTTATCTCGTTACCTCCAGCACAATAACTCACAAATTTATAAGGTTCAAAGGTTACTACTAACTGAAAAAGTGGTGAATGCAACAAGACTAGCGCCATCTATGTGTTAGGCCCCAGACTTTTCAGACCACGTAGTAATGCTTTCACAAAACCTACCAAAAATCGTTACATTATTTGGATCGCCACCGAAGTGTTTTATGTTCCTCTGAACCCATTTCAGTGCCAGCACTTGGTCCTTCATACCAGCATTACCAGGTACATCCAAGGAAGCGTCTTCCAGTGTCAAGAAGCCCAAAAATCCTATGCGATAATTAATAGAAACTAACACAACGTCTTTGGTCATGATATATTCCGGACCAAAGAAAAATTTGGGGTCGCTTGAACCCGAAGTGAAGCCTCCTCCATGGATCCACACCATTACTGGCTTCAAAGAGGAACCTTCATCTGGAAGCTAAAAATTATACATCACAATATTATAACAATAATATTCACAGACTTCTAAATAGCATGTTCGAATTCATATTAGGAGTTTCCCACAACAATGTCATATAGAAGAAATCTTTGACTAATGATGCAATATTCAAACTATTAAATAAGCAGAGAGGGTTAAAGAGACATGCAGTTGCTTGCAAGAACCACTTGCTCATCGACAGACGTGTCACATAGGATCAGTACAGTAAGCTAAATATTCTTATGTTCTGAAGAAAATACTAGGAAATATTTGATATATCAGACCGTTCTGGTCGTACTGAAATTAAAACAAAGCAGATTACTTCCAGCGCGTGAGTGTTCAAATACTTTTTCTCCGTCTCACTATTGCTGCTATATATTTTAGTCAAATGTGATACTCCCATAAACCAGGAGCACAAGTTGGCTCGTTTGTTGCACATCGAATATTTTAAACTTTATGTACCAGAAAATAACAGAAGTAGATCAATAATGAAACACAGACGGAATATTCAGGGTAACCTTGAAATCAATAAAAGGTAAAGCTGTGCAGGTGATGCAGGTGAATTTGCCTATATTTGGATTACATCAGGTACTATCCTTTGTTTTGGATTTTCTCTAGGTTCACTGTTTGTAGGAATGAGTATTGAATTGTGTAGTATATTGAATGTTAGGTCTTGTTGTGTTTTGTGTCTTCTGTATAATTCAGAGTTCATGTAAAAGTATTTGTTTCGAAAAAAATTGTCTTTCGTGTAATTCAATGTTTATATGAAAATAGCTGTTTCAGGAGGGCTTTTCCTTCCATCACTCCAATTGCTCCAATATGGAAGGAAAAACCTACGAGGAAGTTAATGATTCAGAAATTATGGATTGGTATCCAATGCAGACTAGAACTAATATTGTAGCCGAAGAATATGATGGTCTTGAAGATTTCGAAGATCAACTAGAATTGGAAGGGTTTGTCGAATCTATCGATGAAGATATGCCATCAAAGAGACAAAAACTATTGGATAATTAATTGAAATTCAAGGTAAGGTATTTATAAATAACAATACCCCCTCCCACTTCTCAAACTCAAAATGCCCGTAATTCATTTGTTCTTTCATTTTTATCATATTTCCCTCCTTTTCTAATGGGTTTCATCCTACAGTTATTTTTTTTTGTTTGAAAAATTATCGACCCTGGTAGATAGATAGATAGATAGATAATTTTACTAATCTCCATAAATTATTTACATGACATGAGATAAGTCCAATGGTAGTCATAAAAATAAGATAAATATAATAGTTTGAATAGTCAGGTATTTACACATAAAACAATTAATAATTGATGGAGCATACACATACAAATATACGTCGAAACTTGGATGCCAACCATTTACAAAACTTGATGAAAATATAAAATAAAATGTACATATAAAACAAATTAAAAGTTTGGAAAATTTGTTTATCGGTCATTAGATGTACTTCTAATATCCAACTCAATGTAGTCAGTTAGTGAATAAAAGGAGTGATGAAGCAAAAAATTCTTTAGGTCGGATTTGAAAATTTTTAATGCTAATTTTATGCATTCAGGAAGCAGGTTATAAAAGTAGCCTCCAGCATACAGGGGAGATTTTGTGTACCATGTTTTGTTAAATTGATTTAGGTGTATATTGTTTTTATATCTAGTATCGTGCTCGTGAAGATCTCTATTTTTTGTAAATTTATCTTTATTATTAAACGTATAAATTAATAACTTATATGAGTAGACACACGGGAACGTTGAAATATTTTCCTGTTTGAAAGTGTTTCTACAAAATTCATTATAATCCACGCTAAAAATGAGTCTTATAAATCGTTTTTGTAAAATGAACACTCGTGATACTTCTGTTGACCTACCCCATGTAATGATATTACAGCTGATAGCCGTGTAGACAAGAGGGTAATACATGTTAATCGAGTGGTTTCTATGAAAGTTCGATTTGAGACTAGTAAAAGCATAATAAAGTTCATTCAGTTTTTTATATATGTTATTAACTTGGTTGTTGAAGGTTAATTTGTAATGCAGCTCCATACCAAGGAATTTTGTGCTTTCTGACGCTAAGATATCAGTGTGGCCAAAGTTGAACTTCCTGTTGTTGAAGTGTTTTTGAAGACTACTGAATTGGATAAGGACCATTTTTCCATATTATTAATGAGGTGATTTATCTCATACCATTGAGTGAAGTTCTTCACTACTAATTGAATATCATTCGTCAAGTAAAATGTATCGTTAGCAGTTAATATAATTGTTGAATCATCTGCATACACGAAGACCTGTCCTTTGTTAATGTGGAGAGGTAGGTCATTGATATATACTAAAAACAGCAAAGGACCCAATACTCCACCTTGAGGAGTCCCAAAGTAATATTTTTTTCTCTGAAAGTTCTTTATTGACCTCAACTATTAGGGTTCTACCGGTCATGTATAATAAAATGAAAGATTGTATGGGATCTCGAATACCCATTGCTTCTGATTTTATCTTCAAGAAGAGTGGATTAATGGTGTCAAAGGCGCGGGTGAGGTCAAAGAAAAGTCCTACTACATATTTATTTTTATCGATATTTTCATAGATATACTGAATCATACCTGTTGATGGGGTCTCATTAGAATGGTTGGGTTAGAAACCGTGCTGACAAGGGGTTAGGATTTTTCTATACTCTAGGTAATTTATCAATTGATTGTACACAGCTGTTTCTATAAGTTTTGAAAAGCAGTTGAGTATACATATTATTCTATAGTTTTCTATACAATACGTGTCTCTTTTTTTAAACACTGGGATATTTTTTGTGCTTTTTAATTTTTTTGGAAAGCAACCTTGTGTTACTGATAGGTTCACAAGAGTGGCCAATTCACTTACGATTCCTTCGACACAGTCTTTCAGTAGTAAAGCTGGAATCTCATCGATCCCTGCAAAGTATTTCTTTTTTAGATATCACAATCAATGATAATACCAATCGCTGATAGATTTGAAGAACATGCTTTGTGGAGAGCTTATCTCATTTTTGGTACAATAATTTTGCGGGCGAGTAGAGTGGGTTTATTTTTCTTTTCACTGAGGTTGAAAAATTATCTCCAAACAGATTTGCAACTTCCTGTTCGTCCCGTTATAATTCAAAATTATGTTTTCCTTTTCGTTCTTATTGGTACCTTTTTTCATTTTTACCAGATTCCACAAGGTCTTTGATTCGTTATTAGAATTGTTCATTAGGTTAGAGTGATATATTTTTTTTCAGACGATATTTTTATATTGAGTTCCCTTTTCATTTGCTTATAGTTTTCATTCAAACAGCAGTCACTGGCTCTTTTCCTCAGCCAATTCATATCTTTTAAGTTCTCAAGTTCTCTATGCAATTCTCTAGAAAATGGAATTTTTCCTATTGATGTATTTTTTTCTAATTTAATTTCTTGCATTGGGAAAGCTATATCAAAACACTAGTTAAAGTGAGATAAAAAGTTATCTAATACGATTTCAACATTACTATCTTGCAATATCTTTGTTTTGGGAGTTTGAGTGGAATTTTCGTGTTACAATATTTGTTTTAATGTGTTGTTTCAATTTATTTTTGTTTGTTATGGACCAACTCATGATTTGGGCAGAGTGGTCGGATATTCCTAAGCCAAAGATTTTACAGGATGAGTTTTCTATGTTACTTATTACGTAATCAAGCCCACTGACGATCAAGTGGTTTCCATATCTAGCTGTACGTGTTGGTTCATTATAAAGTAAATTCATATTGAACATTTCAAATAGATCAAAAATTTGTTTTTTATAGTAGCTATTTCCCATAAAATCTATTGAAATCCCCACAGATGACACAGTTTGCATACCTACTTATCTGATACATTGTTTGAGATGTGATTTAGGTTATCAAGGAATGACTGTGGATCTGCATCATTAGATGAGCTTCGATAGAATGTGACAATGCACAATTCTTTGTTCACTTCTATGGAAGAACACTCGAAATTAAGTTCTATATTTACATTCACCAAATACCATAGGTTCTTACAATGTTTGAGAAACTGTTATTTGTTGTTATTCGAAAATAAATTAGCGTTTCCAATGTTATTACGTTGTTCGTTGTCTGTTGGAGATTCAACTTTTTTTTATATCAATTGTTTAAAATCAATTTTTCCCTCGAGAATAACAGGGGAGTTGATTTTTTGCTACAAAATGTGATAGAAGTAAGTATAAAAAATGATGATTTCTAAAGAGAAAAACGTATGTAGATAACGTCTTCTAAAAGTGAGATCGAATTTCTATTATTGAAAATCGCAAATAATACCAGTTTACATCCAAATATCGACATTAATTTAAAAATCATTCAGAAAAACAAAAAATAATATTCTACACCGTGTATTTCAAATACGAGAACCTTGCCAAAATATGCGCACATAAACTTTTTGTTTCGAACATACTTGAGGAACCGTCCTGTAAAATATTGGACATGCATTAAAAAACACTGCGTAAGTATGGTTAAAAACAATTTCATACTGCAGGTCAGATGGTAGACGGTTGGTTAGAGTGAGGGTTCGTTCTACTAATTCAATTCAACTGCTATGCTGACGTTGGTTCGATCCCAACTGTGGTACTATCGATGTTCACTACATATAAGATACAGATAAAATGCAGATAGATACAGATATAAGACCACGTTAATTCCTAACTCATAGGTTTAGGTTAAGTGAAGGTAAGTCCAAAGTGCACCGCAACCCGCAAGAATTTATTGTGGCTCATACTTATTCACACTCGATCAAATAGACCCAGCTTCTTAACAAAGCCGATTAGTTCGTATGGTGGGAGGTCTTTCAGGTCAGATGGTAAGAGTACGACTCTGCTGAACTCTTAAGACCTGATTCGGTCCCCAGCGGGGCAAACACAAAGTATGTGCTCTGCTATTTCATCATCTTCCACACAGGTTTCGTCGAGCAACGTTTGGCACTTAATTCAACTCGATGATTGACAAGCTATTGGCCAAACTTTCGATGCAATACCCTCGACCGAATCAGAAATTCACTAATTTTCACCTTATGTCATATTGAAATTCAATAATAAGTTTTAGTGTCTGTTAAGTTTCAACGTACCGTTCTCGTGAATACATTGAGATGCAAACAATGTTCCGATCCCTTTACAGCTTTAGTATTCAACATATCTTTCTGGGCACAAGAATCTCCGATTTTAGTAGCATCTCTTACGCCGTCCCATTCTTCAACAGGTTGAGGAGCCTGAAAACATTATAAATAATATTAAGTAGAGCAGTGGCGTAACTTTAGCATTGAAGGCTTGTGCCAAATTCATTGGATGTGGGCCAAAAAAAAAATCGTCACATTGTAATTTAATTTCATTATATCGATGAGACAGGTACCCAACAATAATATTGTGTTCATTTCAGTTATTTTATTGAAACAATTGCATCCATTAGTTATTTCAATTCAAAGAAGAATTGAATTCAAGTAATATTTTGTCTAATTGATAGCGAGAATGATTTAGAGTACTTCGAATATTCTATTGAACAAACAAAATTTAAAGATGGGTGAAATAGTGGATCTGATTGAAATAATCAAATGTATTTTCTATTTGAATAAAAGATATGTTGAAGAAACATAACATATCTGCAGGATGATGAAGAACCTTGCTTGTTTTGATAATGGGAAAATTTCCACTAAAGTAATGATTTTGTTGAACAAATAATGAATAGTAGTTGAACGAACAATGTTTATACCTCATTGTGAGTATCTTTCTGATAGAGTAAAGCATTTCGAAAGTTCAAAATAAATATGAATAATGATGTACCAAATGAAATAAAGTTAGAAATCAAAATCCTTCCCTCAGTTCTACTGAAAATTACTCTTCTCTTCTCCAAAACTTCAATATGTTTTTTAAGTTTGTAGATAAAAAGCATTACGTATAGTTTTAGTATATTGAGAAAATTACTTTTCAGCAGAATCAGAAATACAGAGTCAGTGATTGAATTTACATGAATCTACAATCAAAATAGATCAAGTTATTGAATAATTGTGACAATATATTATAGTTTGTTCAACAACCCGATTTCTCAATACATCAAATACACTTTGTATCATTTTCTCAACTGTATTATTGATCTACTTACGTATCACGATTTTTTAATCAGCTGCTGATGGGAGTCTTGCGGATAATATTTCATATTCAATACTGATTATGTAAATGCCATGGAAAATTGTTCAACGTGAGAATGAGCAAAATATAAATAAAAATCGAGAAATTTCAGTACCAAATTTATTCAAACAATTTTCCATTCGTGATTAGTTTACGGTTCTTGCGAAAATGCAAATGGTGCCGACCGGCACTCTATTCCTTAGAAGTATTTCAACTATATCATTTCTTAAAAAGGAAACAATTCAATTTTTCAAACCAATAAATAATAAAAATATTGAAATGAAATTATCCATAATCTTGAAATTATTTCCAAAATTTGTTAAAGGTATTGAAATGTATTGTTGAAGTGAAAATAAATATTCAGTTGATTCAATTATATATTAGTGTCAAAACAGCACCCCATAGTGTTAAACTGAATTGGAAAGTTTTCATTCAACAGACGTACTTTTGATTTGATGAAATTATATTGTTTGACTCAACCGAATTATTTTAAGAACTCAATAAATGTTATTCTTGAAATGATTCACAATTCATTTGACCTCTTGAATTGAAATATTAGAGAAATTAAAATGAGAATTTCATTTTGTCTCCGCAAAATTATCATTAAATCAATACAATACACACGTCGTTTGGAATGAATGATATTTAATCAAAGTGATGAAATAAATTAGACTAAATAAATTTCTTTGAAGTAACAAATCTTTTTTTCCGTGTAGGTATCACATATTTATAAAGAAATAATAGTTCAATATTAACAATATATTTATTAATAAAATAACCAAATTACGTAGCATGTTTTAGTCCATAAATAGGTTATTATTAATTTTAGTTTCCAAAATGATCTTTCAGTACTAGCTGCAGTCACAGGTATTGTAACAGATAACACACATACTTCAGAAAAGCTGTATGACATGAAATGATTCTTCAGCAAGTTCTTCAATACATCTTAACTTTTCTATTTCATCTCTGAAGATGGACCAAAAACTGATAATTTTCTTGGGAAATGATTCAGATATGTCTTCTTTTAATAATGATATTTCGTCTTTTGATGATTTTTGATAGGGCTCTTTGTTTCGAAGATATGGAGCAGAAAAGAATTTCGACAATTACAACTTATGTTTCTTAATCTACAAGAACTGTTGAAAATGACTACCCTCCGCTCGGATGCAAGAATCCAATCGTCTGCTCATCGACTCGCAAACTCTTTCAAAAACACCAGGATCACTTGCGAGACATACTATTCAAATTGAATGTCTGCAGCCGTTTGTAGTAATCGGATTGTTGTTGATAGGTGCCAACGGAATTGTTAGATTTTTCATTACTTTGTAGGTCCAGTTGATAATTTTAAAATTACCAAAATTGTTATTTTCGAAATTCTTTTTCGCCCCGTATCTTCAAAACAAAGCGCCCCATCAAAAATCATCCAAGGACAAAATATCCTTAAAATAGTCCAAGGAATAATCCCTTAATTTTTGCCGTATGTTTAAAGAACACCCTGTATAGAAAGATTATGACCTGTAATAACACATAGGGTAGGTTCCCACAGTAACGCGGGTAAAACAGCGGGGAACAGCTAGTATAGTATAAACGGGTAGGTACCTTTTGATTGACTGACACATTTACATTAACGTACAGTCGAAGCTACTGAACCTAAAAATCTTGAAATATGCAGGTAGGTTATTTGTATAGCATCAAGAAAGGGAATCAGGAATTTCTACTCCCAAGGGGGGAAATACGGGTTTGAAGATTGTATTGAATTTCGTCAGTTTTGAAGTTGAAAACCTGAAGTTTTGGGTTAATTAAAAATATTGTAACTATTTGTTTAAATTTTTCTGTCACGAAACTTAATGTGACAAACCACATTCTACGCGAGCAAAGCCGCCGGCAACAACTAGTATACACATATAAATCTTCCCCTTGAATCACTCCATCTATTAAATCCGTTCCATAGTTTCAAAGATGTAAGCATACATAGGGACAGACAACGGAAAGCGACTTTGTTGTAGTGATGTCTACCTAGGGTGTTATCAGTCTTGTATGCTATGCTGATGTTCTGTTTAGTTCCTAGTTGTACATTTCTACAGCCCATAAGCTCATGCTCAAATTTGAAATATTTGCAATAATGGTTTTTGGACCTGGAAGCAATATGGAGCCCACCAAATCCTTATCTAAAGTAAGTATTGAGAAATGAATACTTTCTTCCGTGAACGAGATCAAAAATTTACTCGGATCTATTGCCAATCGAATCTAGAGTACCACAAGGCTCCGTTTTGGGACATCTGTTGTTCATGGCTTCTTCTTCCACATATCTTATATATAAAAATGGATGTTGTTGGTTGGTTGGTAAGTGATTGACTTCTACATCGCTCAACCGATCGTGATGAAACTTGACATATATAAGTAATTTTTCATAGAGAAGGTTTTTAGGCTATCAATTTTTCTGTAACTCCTCACTAAATGGCGCTGTAGAACAATTTTTTGAATACACTGTTCTATAACGTTGCGCACGCCTAAGTTCGTTAATTCTGATTGTGCCAAAAACATTGGAACAGCAGCGATACAGCAACATAGTACTAATTAGTACTACAACTACCAAATTCTACGCGGGCGAAGTCGCGGGCAACAACTAGTTACCATATAAATGCGTAATCTATGCCGATGATACAACTTTCTTGTGTACTAACCAAAACTGTGAGAACTTGCTCGCCACAATGAAAACTGTGATAAATCAGGCTAAGAAATGGTTCAACCTTTCGAAACTTAATAAAGATATAACTCAAACTATCACATTTTCTACAAATAATAATTAAGCAAAAGGTGAGACTGTCAAACTACTAGGCATCACCCTATAGGATACTCTGGTCTACTCTCTAGTCATACCATATCGAAGAATTAGGTTCAAAACTTTCCAAGTATCTATTTCTACGCAAGCAATCGGAGAATTTTGTCAACTTGAACACTCTTCTATCAGCATACTATGCTTTTTTTCATTCCCATGTTAGCTACGGAACTTTACTTTAGGGAAATTGCCCCAATGCTGAGAAGATATTCTTACTACAAAAGCGAACTATTAGAATAATTTCAAATGCTGCTTTCAGAAATATCTGCCGGTTTCTTTTCTAAAAACTAAACATAATGACGATACCCTGCATCTTTATCTATCAGTCTCTACTGGAAATTCATAACAATAAAAACGACCGTTTGACCAATTCACAGGTTCATGAACATAACGCTAGAGGTGCCAGTCTCTTAGACCACGCAGGCTGAAACTACATAAATCCTTGTTAATATATCAATGTTAATATTTATAATATATTGCCACTCACTGTTAAAGATCTACCTATATAGGTACATAGTTTCAAGAGGTTTACCAAAAATTTCTTGACACATTGTTTTTATAGTGTCAACAAGTACCTGGCCAGACCAACTCACATGTTTGAATTTAAATCATTTCAATTGTGCCCTTCAATTACCACATATTTTTTCAATTTCAATTACCGTATTATTTACATCATGTTTTTATCTCTCCTATTCATTTGCGTCACCACTGGTGATAGTTGTGTTTTTTTTTATTCCTTTTGTAACCTATTTGAAATGTTTGTTGGTTGTTCATATGTTTGTATGGTTAGAACTTTATTGTTTTTACTTGCTACAAGTATATTTTTTACATAACGTGGTTAAATAAACTATCTATCTATCAACATGTCAGCTATCTGAATTAAATTTATTATAACGTTCTTAGGTAACTGTTTCCTAATTGAGATCCACTAATTACTAAGGTAAAACTCAATTATGTCAAAAATGTCTTACTGTGACAGTATTTATATACCTGTTTCAAGACCGGATACTTCTCGTTTGGTATCCGGAAATAAGACCATATACATCAGGCATGCAAAAATCAAACTGGTTAAGCGCACACTACAGACTTTTTATCGGCCGATAGTTTAGTTGAATGCTTATTATTATAGAATCGTAATGTGAGTCCGCACATCTGAGCGATTCCAGTTGGTCGACTGAATAATCAGAAACAAGTTGGATAGTCCAACTTTGTAATTCTGATTCAATTACAAAGTTGGACTACTATCCACCGAGTTCTAATCAGACTATGTGTTTATGAGAGTGCGCAGACTCACCAACTAAACAGTCGGTGCCTGCAGACTCCCCACTCTACATTCCATTGTTGATATCTGATATCAAATATTACCTAGTACCTTATTTATCTTTGAATATATCATTTGCGTTTTCATTGCATTTTTTGTTTCATAATTATGTCGAATATTGCCTAGTGTTCAGTAGAAAATATAATTGCGGAAGTTGAAAAGCGACCTGCATTATATAATAAAGCATTAAAAGAATATTCCGATGTTAATATTGAAAAGAAACTATTGGATGAGGTTTGTGCAATTGTTGTTCCTGCTTAGGGTGAAATGGATGCTGAAGACAGTAGAAAACAAGCTTTCCTCGATAACATTCTTCAATACTTTCAATACAACGCGTCAAAATATTATATACATCAACAACTGTTCAGACTTTTCAGTTGGTGGTCTGCGCACCCGCACCGAACCGAACAGTTTTGTTTGTGGAATTGGCCGCGGTGGTAGTGCGTCCGACTCACGATCGGAAGGTCGTGTGTTCGATTCCCGCCTCGACCAGATATTTTTCTCGAGAGAATTTATCTGGTTGAAGCTGGAATGATTCTGCAACCGTGTTAGGAATCACACGTTAAAAGGTAAGACCTCGTTAGTCCTTAGCTCGCACAAGTTTCTCAACTTCTGAGAGTTGTCGTTCGTATGGGGGCGGCAGCTGATTAACGGAAAAACAGATTTTTTTTTTCAAACAGTGTGCCCCCACCCAACCCAACCAGACTAAACTATCGGCCGATAAAAAGTCTGTAGTGCCCTAAGGGCAAGCGCACACTACAGACACGCACACGCACTTTTCATCAGCCGATAGTTTTAATAGTTTAGTCTGGTTGGGTTGGGTGGGGGCACATTACTCAAACAAAACTGTTCGGTTCGGTGCGGGTGCGCAAATCACCAACTGAAAAGTCTGTATATAATATTTTGACGCGTTGTATTGAAAGTATTGAAAAATGTTATCGAGGAAAGCTGTTATTGCAATTATCATTGCACGAAGAAGAAATATGAAGAAAACAAGCAAAAGATACCGTGAATGGTGGGTGCACCCTATTTTAAGTGATAGATTAGTTCAAGGAATGTTCTACACGCTCCATCCTAAGCTGCTGGAATATGTTCTTCGCTTAATATATAATGAGCATAACCAGCTTCAATCAACTTGTTAGACTAGTCGGACCATTAATTATGAAGCAAGATACGAATTTAAGACGCACAATACCTGTGCGCTCAACTTTCTACTGAACATTCGGCAATATTCAACATAATTATGAAAAAAATGTAATGAAAACGCAAATATATTCGAAGATAAAGTAGGTACTAGATAATATTTGATATCAGATATCAACAATGGAATGTAGAGTGGGGAGTCTGCAGGCACCGACTGTTTAGTTGGTGAGTCTGCGCACTCTCATAAACACACAGTCTGATTAGAACTCGGCCGATAGTTGTCCAACTTTGTAATTGAATCAGAATTGGAAAGCCTATCCAACTAGTTTTTGATCATTCAGTCTTACGACTAGAATCGCTTAGATGTGCGGACTTATATTACGATTCTATAATAATAAGCATCCAACTAAACTATCGGCCGATAGAAAGTCTGTAGCGTGCGCTTGGACTAAATAAAAGTTGAGAAACTCAGAACTTTGTTTGCACTTACTCACTAACATCCGCATAATCTTCACAACTAATCAGCCTGATTATTATCTACAAAAGCTCAAAATATTTTCGTCAGATAATATTTTTACCACACGAAATAGTTCAGGTTCAGACATCCCCAAACATAAATCTTTTATCTTAACTGGATACGTCTCGTATAATGCACTCAAATATTATAATCAACTACCCTGTGAGATAAGTCTCGTCCGTCCTCGCCCTTGGCTATACCAAATAGGAATTTTCACTCGGGATTACTCTTTTTTTTAACATTCAATGTATCTTATTTTTAGGAGCCTGTTATTATATTATTACTTTTTGTTTATTCGATCGTTTTCTATGTTGTTTTTGCAATTATTGTTAATTTTAGGTTGAGTTGAGCCTTGGCTGTGATATTCCGCGTTTTCTCAATTGCAATTTTTTACCTGCACCAAAATCCTTCAAAAACATTTTTCTAGAGGTGATTCCGAATCGAATATGCTATCGCTCATATTTTTAGGACCTTTATCTCTATTTTTCATGTTATTGAACTTGTTGATTAGACTATATTATATCATTACGAACATAACAAATTGCAATTACAATGTTTTCTGAGTAGTAGGTACTCTAGTCAACGTTGCCACAATTCAGCCAATTGTACATCTCTCACCGTTAACGAAATCACCTTGCATATATTCGAATTTGAATATATTTGAATTTGAATTATAAAATAAGATTCCCATTCGATAAGCAATCTGGAAGCACGCCTATGAACACTTACCTTGAACCTGAGTTCTTCCAATGGCGGTTTTGCGTACGGAATCCCGAGAAAAGTAAAATGAGGTTCACCATCCAAATTAGTACCCAAGAAACCTTTAACCTTTCCTTCGGAAATATTGACAACTGGCGACTCCATTATTCAATCAACAAACCGATGCAGCAATGCCACAAGTTCTTCATAAGAACGATATCAAACAGTGGTGACTTCAGTACTATCGTTATTCTTGTGCTCGGGGATGTAAATATATTTTATTGAGGGTGGTTCTCGGAGTGTATACACGGCCGACAATGCGGTGTTCAAATATATAGCTGCCTCTTAGAAAATGAGTATTGAAATCAGATTGTTAAAGAAAGCGCAAATCATTTTTCAAACTTGGTCGCTCTGCTGAAGCAAATATCCTATTCTGTTTTTATCAGCAAACTTTCATTAGCTTCACCTGTATGTATGTTTGTTTGTATGTAACTCTCCTTTTCATTTCATATTTATTCCCGATTGAATGTTCGGGATCTGTATTTCACGTAGGTAACCTCCTTAATATAATTCGAACTCACTTTACATGTATTTCTAATGAACTGAATTTTCAGTGAGTTACCACTGGAGTTTTTTTAATTGAACGGCTTCGTCCATCTTGCCACATTTGTTTGCTTGTTTGTTTGTTTGTAACTCTCCTTTTCATTTCATATTTTTGCCGTTTGAATGCTCGGGATCTGTATTTGACAAACTTATCGACTTTATTGCTTGATCTATTCGCGTGCAGATGGCGCTGTACGTAACCTCCTTGATATATTTCGAACTTACTTTACATGTATTCCTTCATTTGAAAAAAGTATTTTCTTTTATTAACACGCTCGCTGCCTTATTTGTAACCCTCCTTTGCGCGCCTGCTGCTGCCTTGGGCTTGGTAGCTGATTTTCAGGCTCCCTCTCCGGAATCGGAAATTATCAATGGTCATTTTTTTTTCTGATCAATTTCAATCTAAAGTTTAGATAAAATAAATATAGTTTGAAAAGAAGAAAAAACACGCTTTTGTATATCATGAACTATATTTATTCTAGTAGTTCGGGGGTAACTAATACATTCACTTATTTTTTGAATCAATAGTTTTTTTACGATTTGGTGTTGAATTGACTTATCTAGAATCAATTGTATCCATACTGATGCAATAATGATTGAAATTTTCATTTTTGATATGAGTAAATGCCTGAAAATCAAAATGAGTACTATTTCAAAGTTTTTAAATTCAGTTTGAAAATTACAATATGTAAAAAAACAAATTTGTTTTCTTCTATACAGAACTAGTAGATATTGACTACAGTTCTCTAATTATACTCAAATACCCAGCTACATTTTGCATAATATCATTTTTTGATTATTCGGTTTCATTCAACTCCTGTTTGTTTCAGTCAAATTTAGTAATTGGAGTTTGACCCCCTTCCTGTTGACAGATTGATCTGATATTTGGTATACACATTTAGTTTTGATGACAATACAATTTGATGAATTTTGTATCATTGTGAATCCAAGATGGTTGCAGTTATAAAATGGCCGAATACAATTAACTCAATATGGGTAATGACAAGGCCTTACTAGTACTATAGTTATACACTATGAAAAAGATGCAAATCCAATATAATCTATACATAAAACTTTGTCAACCCAGAATTGGAATACAAGCATGGATCTCCCACCCAAATCAAGATTTGGTATCGTGTCGAGGACTGTGTGGCATTAGGGTGGCTGAAAATGATACATTGGTCGTTAGCGATACACCACACAAGTTAGGGTAAAAAGTTTTACAAATAAAAACCAACCTTCAGCAAGTTATCACTTCGTTTGTATCTACTAACACCATTCCTCTGAATCCTTATTTTTTTATAAGGTATGTTTTTACGAATAATGCATTTTTCGATAAAATACTTATCTTTTGAATAAATTGACAGGGTTATATTTTTAGGAATGATTAATTTTTGGTAAATAAAGATTTTGGTTTTCCACTAAAGTTAGAAATTTTAGGATAAACAATAAATCTGGCAACAGTGTCAACTCACCCCTCGTGCATGCAGAGACAATAGTTTCACTGTTTCACAGTTGGTTAGTTGTCAGTCTTCTTATAACGACGGTAACAATTATTATGAGTCAGAAGAAAGACAACAGTGCATGCATTGCACATTTTGTAAAGTTTATAATATAGTTTGTTGAAAGTACTTAGGCTTTCATAAGTACGAGTGAATAAATAAGTACAGTCCTCATTGTTAGCGGGTTCAAACCCTAACATTTGTCCATAATGATACAAAAAAATGTGTGAATTTTTCAAAAAAAGATAGGAAGCAATAAATTTCAAAAATTAACTCTATACAAAGATGTGTAGATCATACAAGGAAATAACTTTCAGACACAAACTGGAAGATAAAGCCCTCTCGAAACAGCAGTGGCGTTCCGTAGTGGGGGCAGGAGGTGCGTCCCGCCCCCGTTCTGTTCTTAATTCGTTACTTTAATAATTCA